ATGTTCTCTTTTGTGCCCCTACAGGGTCTGACCAACTGACCTGGCCTTGGCCAACATCGATTCTCTATCATGGCTACCTCAGCATTCTGGCTGGCTAGGAAGATATTTTCCTTCAAGTGGAGCAAGTGGATAGGGCTTGTTTGTTTCCGGCCACTAGTGGTCTCCTCTCCTAATATTCGCCAGAATAAACTAATCCATAAACTACAGGAGGAAAAGGCTTTTCGGAGTGAAATGAAAAATTTCCATGAGAAAATAGTAGACTTCAGGAAAGAGCTGTGGAACTTCCGAGGCAAAATTTGTGCCTTCCGAGGCCAGATCTCGGGCTTTTGGGAAGAGGAGAGACCTTTCTGGGAAGAGGAGAAAATCTTCTGGAAAGAAGAAAAAACCTTCTGGGAAATGGAAAAATGTTTCCGGGAAGAAGAGACAATCTTTTGGAAAAAATACCACACTTTCTGGAAGGAAGATAAGGCCTTCTGGAAAGAGGACCATGCCCTCTGGGAACGAAACCGGAATCTTCTTCAAGAGGACAAGGCACTGTGGGAAGAAGAAAAAGCCCTGTGGGGAGAGGAACGAGCCCTCCTTGAGGAGGAGAAGGCCCTGTGGGAGGATAAGAAGTCCCTATGGGAGGAAGAGAATGCCCTTTGGGAGGAAGAGAAAGCATTGTGGGTGGAAGGAGGAGTTGGCAATATTGCTGAGGAACTGATGCTGGAAGATGGGCCCTACAATGTCAATGGAGGGCTGCGATCAGCAGCCCTCTCCCGAGGTAGGGCATAAAGGCAGGAGAGGAAGACTCAGTGGGGTACAGACTCTGCTGGATTGGGATTAAGTCCAGGATGACCCCATGTACTGGAGACAATAGGTACTTATTTGTCTCCTTGAGTTGAAAGATCTAATAAAGTCCTAAGTGGAGGTTTGGAAAACTAACTTCTTCAGGAAAGCCAGTTTCATTTTTCTCATGTTTTGTGATTCTCCAACGTTATATTCCCATCCCCCAGGCTGTGTTTTTGTCCACAGAATTTGGTCTTGGGCAGTTCACAATGAGCCCTGCATGTGTAGTGTTTGTAATTAGACACACTGTTGTTCTCTTTAGAAGAGTCAGAGTGGGGGCAAGATGAGTCTCTGACAACACCGGTTTGAAACACATCTGGCAGAAAGGGACTGAGACATCCCTGGCTCTGTCACTCTGTTGGGAAATCATCTGTTCTCCAATCTGGACAGTCTTGGAGGCCTGGAGTGGGCTGAGAGATTTCAAGACCACAAAGCTGTTAACAATTTACTGGCCAGCCATTTCAACCATATAAGCAGAATACCTTAATGGTACACTTGCTGGTAGACCTGGATTACTCCTGAACTTCTCAGCTGCCCATGAGAACAGACCCTTGGCATTACGCTGGTGTTCAAATGCATGTCTCACCAAAACACACTGGTCATCCCTGGAAATTCACACAAATTTCACCACACCTGGCTTTTTCTTATAAATTCTTTTGGGTTTCTTTCCTTATATTGATTTTTCTTTTTTTTAAATGGATTTACACCAATGTATGTGGTCAACAATTTAAGTAACCAAATTTTCTTCTGGGGGTGGGGAGACTAAATGGTGTATATGGGGACTGTCATAGAAATAACTAAGAATAAGAAACATCAGGACTATCTTCTGCTTTCCTTTTGCTGAGGCCTGACCTCTCATTGTGATTAATACATTATCTACCTTGGTGGGTCCCCACTATCAGCAAGCACTTTCTCATTTGCCAACTCATTTAGCTGCCATCACAACTCTGTGGAATGATGTTGTTGTTGTTAGGTGCCATTGAGTCGGTACCGACTCATAACGACCCTATGCACAGCAGAATGAAACACTGCCCGATCCTGGGTCAACCTCACTACTGTTGCCGCGCTTGAATCCATCAATGCTGCCACTTGGGCAATCCATCTCACTGGGGGTCTTCTTCTTTTTCTCTGACCCTCCACCTCCAAACATGATATCCTTCTCCAGCAACTGGTCCCTCCTGACAACGTGTCCGAAGTATGAGAGATGAAGTTTGGCCATCTTGGCCTCCAAGGAGCATAGGGAGATAGTGGGATGATAGGGAAGACTTATCCTAATTCTACAGATGACAAAGCTGAGACCTCAGAGAAGCAAAGTGATCTCATGTGATAAGGAAATAATAAATGGAATGGCCAGAACTTGAACCTAGATGGCCATTTTCCTTTTCTAACATGGCTCTGGTCTGTAGAACATGACTTTAGAGGAGCTTAGCAATGATGTCAGGGCTGGATGAGATGTAATGCAGTTTGCTGTGGTTTTAGGTGACAGTAGAGAGACGGAGAGGCAAGCGAAGGAGAGGGGGTTTTATAGTTACCTTAGGTATGATGAGCAAAGTTTCTCCATACCAGGAGAGTGGGTCAACTCCCAGTAGAAGCTAGGCCTCCGTGGTTACAGATTGCTCTGGAAAGTTTGGGTTCCCTGCAAGGCCCCCAGTGAACGCCAAGCTGACCCTGGAGCAATCAGAACTGGGGCAGTGGACAGGAGCAGTTGTTTCTTTGTCAGACACCCACCTTTGCCTCCTCAGTTCCCTGTGGGTCTCTGTACACCATCAGGGGAGAAGATGGTGATGTGGAGAAGCCTCTTCAGGGAAAGGCATTCCAGAGGATTCTCCATACCAATTATGGTGCGCAGAAGACAGGAACCCCAGGGCAAGCTCGGCAATCCCAAGTGATTCCACCAAGGACAAAAACAGGAGAAGACCTTAAGACAAAAAAACAACAACAACAACAAAAAAAAACCAATGGAGTCAGAGAAGGAGGTATGCCATGAATAGAAATAAAACCCCTGAACAGCATCCCACAGAGCCATTTTGAGAGCTAGCTAGCTAGCTTTGTGACAGATGAATAAAGGGACTGTCCTTCTGTGATTTCTTCTTGTATCCAGCAAACAGCTGTGAACTTTCAATGTCCAAGATTACTTTGATGTCTTTTAATCCACTCTTGCAAAGTGAATGAAGAATAAATCCAGAAATGTTTTCTAGAGGAAGTTATGGCAGGGCAAAATCTCATAGTCAACTATGGCTTAGTTATGGGACAGGGACTGAGCAGCAGGGGAACATTCTAGCAAAGAGAACAGTACTGGTGAAGGCCAAAGCCCAGGAATAATTGCAGCAATTTGAGAACCTGTTGATGGTTTGGTGAACATGGGTGTCTTAATGTTCCCCAGAGAAATAGAAATGGATACACAAGGGGGAAAGTAAAAAATAGTGCTATGAGGGTTCCAGTTCAGATATGCCCAAGGTTTTTCTAAACAAAACGTGTTTAAACATGTCTCTGATCAGCAGATGGCTACATACAAGTTCTTTCAGTAATACACTTGTCTTAGTCGTCTTAGTGTCTTCAAAGTAATGTTCAATCAGAACAACAGCTTCCCAAAGGATCTGCTGAATCAGTTAAAATCAAGGCAGGTCAGCTCAGAAAGTATAGAGACTGTTTTTGGGACTCCAAAGGGATCATCTTGATGTATTTTCTCAAAGGATGTAGGATGATCACAGAGGCTTATTAGGAAGAAATTTTAAGAGAATGGAAAAATGCGAAGGCCAGGAAAGTTATGCCAAAGAGTTTTTCCAATCACAACAATGCACCTACTCATCTTTCAAGGGTAATAAAGGCTGTCCTATGAGAATTTATGTGAGAGATCTTGTCCCATCCACCCTATAGCTCTGATCTTACCCCTTCACTGTAAGATGTACTTTATACTGTAGGATAAGCACTGGGCTCAAGGTCGGTTCGTACCACAAGGTCGACAGCTCAAATTCACCAGCTGCTCCTCGGAAACCCTATGCAGGATTGCTATGGGTCGGAACTGACTTGACGGCTGTTACCAACAACAACAACAACAAACTCAAAGGACATTGGAAAGGAACATGATCCGAGTCCCTAAAAGATGCTAAAACTGCCATTTTGGTGTGTAAATTTAAGAGTGCAAAATTCTTTGGGGAAAGAAATATACAGATCTAGATGGAGGATATGTTGAGAAACAGTCATTTCACATTTTGAAATTGTTGCTTAATGAGGAAGTCTATAATTTTGTAGTGATACTTTTGACTCACCTTCACACATTGAAGAGGAATAGGGAGATTTGTTTCAAGGGATTGGCTCATACAATTGTGGGGACTGCCAAACCCAAAATCCATAGGTCGGCTGACAGGCTGACTCCTGCAGTCTTTTGTCCCAAGATCTGTAGGTAAGGCAATGAAAAGACAGAATGATTCTGTCAAAATATCTATTTATGTCTAGGGGTAGAATACAGCCAAAGGAAACTCCCTTTTCAACTGTTACATTCTATTACATTACATTATAGAAAGTGATTATATTAGATTATATTATGAACAGCAACTAGACTAGTGTTTGGCCAAGTTGACACAAAATTGATCATTAAAATGGGGCCATATGGAACCAGTTCTGGTGTGGCACTGTGGGTTAATGCTCTGAAATGCAAAGTCAGTTTGAACCACAAGGTCGGCAGTTCAAGTTCACCAGCCATTCCTTGGAAACCCTATACAGGGTCGCTATGGGTTGGAACTGACTCAACAGCACTTAACAACAACATACAGATCCAGTAGTTTAGTAACTAATGATGTAAAGTCTTGTGAACAATAGGAAGCCACTGAAAGACTTTGAGGAAGGGAATAAGACATTTAGACTTTCATTTTAGAAGACATTCTGGATCTTCAAAGTGTAGTCCATTGGCTAGGAGCATCGCCCTCACCTGGGAACTTGTTGGAAATGCAGAATCTCAAACCTGTCCCAACCTATTAAATCAGACTTTGCATCTTACTAAGGTCCCTAGGTGGTTTGTGTGGACTTAAAAAGTTGGAGTGGCACCTTCTGCTTGAAGAAGAAGTCTGGAAGGGAGGAAGAGCAAGATCACTCAGCAGGTCAAAGCAGGAAAGAGATGATGATGCTCTGCTCCAGGCAAAAGTGAAGTGTAGGTGAAGTGGAGCAGGCTGCTTGGAAAGCTATTGGTGGCAGATCAGACTACACTGGCTTGGGGATGAATTGGATTTTGTGATAGGCAGGAGGCAGGTGTCAAGGATAACACAGTTTCCTGACTGGGATAATGATGGAATGGTGTGTCCAACACTAAGAAGAGGCTGAAGAGAAGAAGTGGGACTTTCCAGAGGAAGGAGATGAAGAATGTACCGAGGACACATTAGATTGCTGATTAGATTCCAGAGTTGATCAACACTTGGGTGAATTCCACCTTTCTTGTTCATTGCCACCCAACAGTAAGCTGTGTAGCCAGCATCCCTTTTGTCTTAGTTTCCTAGGACTTCCACAACAAAATATCACAAAGTGATAACAGAACATAAAAATAACGAAGTCTCCCGTTTCTGAAGACAAGGAGTTCAAATCAGAATTTCAGCCATGTTGATTTCTTCTGAGGGCCTTGAAAGTAAAACTTTTCCCTGCCTTCTAGCTTCTAGTGGCTGCCAGCAATCCTTTGCTGCTTGTGAATGTATTTTCACATCATGTTTTGCCCATGTATGACTCAGTTTTCATGTCTATTCTCCCCCTTTATAAGACACCATCAAGAAGGATA